AAACTTCAACATATTTCCCCCAAAATTCCCGATTTTTCCCCTGAATTTTCACTCCAAAAAATCCCAAAAAACCCCAATTTTTCCCCTAAAAAAATCCTCATTTTTTTACCCAAAATCCCCAATTTTTCCCACCAAAAAATCCCATTTTTCCCCTAAAAAAATCCTCACTTTTTTCCCCCAAAATCCCCAATTTTTCCCCAAAAAAAATCCCTCAAAAATTTCCCATATTCCCCCTAAAAATTCTTATTTTTTTACCCCAAATCCCCAACTTTTCCCCCAATTTTTCCAGCCTAAAAAAACCCCATTTTTTCTCCTAAAAAAATCCTATTTTTTCCCTAAAAGACCCTCATTTTTTCCCCCAAAATCCCCATTTTTTCCCCCAATTTTCCCACCAAAAACTCCCAAAAAAAATCTCATTTTCCCAGCTTTTTTTTTCCCCAAACCCCCCAATTTTTCCCCCTCAAAAAATCCCATTTTCCCCCTTAAAAAAAAACTTAATTTTTTTCCCCAAAACCCCCGATTTTTCCTCCCAAAAAAAAAAAAAACAAAACCGCACGAATTTTCCCTTTTTTCCGATTTTTCCCCCCGTTTTTTATTCCCGTTTTTCCCCCTCGCTTCCGGAAGGTTCCACCCCTCCCCCTCCCCGTGGTTTAACGCCGCCCCCTGCTGGGCGGGCTCCGACTCCGGCTCCGCCTCTTCCGGGAACCCCCGGCCCCTCCCCGCTGCGAAGCCCCGCCCCCACCGGAAGCGCGCGAGTGGGCGGGGCCGGAAGTGGAGGAAGCCCCGCCCCCTCCGGCCACGCCCCCTCCAGAAGCCCCGCCCATCTGGCGCTGCCGGAGCTCCTCCTCTTCCTGCTCCTTCCGGCGCCGCTCCCGTTCCCGCGCCCGCGCCGCTCGCTCCGCCTGCTTCTGCAGCAGCTGAAGATGCAAATTTATGCAAATTAGAAACAAATCGCATCCCAAATTAACGAGGTTTGGGGTTAACGAGGGGGTTTTGTTTTTTTGGGGGGAAATTTGGGGGTTTTTTTTGGTGAAAAATTCAAATTTTCGGGAAAAATTTTAGGTTTTGGGAGGGAATGAAGCAGCTGGTTATGCAAATTTATGCAAATTAGAAATCATCTCGTATGCAAATGAAGAATGTTTAGGGTTAAGGGTTTTTTTGGGGAAAAAAAAATCGTTTATTTTTTAAATTTTAAATCATTTTTAATGAAACTTAAATCTGGGTGAAAAATTTAGCTGGTTATGTAAATTTATGCAAATTAGAAATACTACGAGATGCAAATTAACAAAATCGGGGGTTAAGATTTTTTTTGGGGAAAAAAATCAAGAGTTTTTGGTGAAAAATTCACGTTTTTGGAAAAAATTCAAGTTTTTGAAAGGAATTTCAGCTGCTCATCATACAAATTTATGCAAATTTATGCAGACTTGAAACCACTTGGATCCTAAATTAACGAAATTTGGGGTTAAGGGAGGGTTTTTTTGGGAAAAATTTGGGGGTTTTGGTTAAAAATTCATCTTTTTGGAAAAAATTCTTGTTTTTAGAAGGAAATTCGGCTGCTGGTTATGCAAATTTATGCAAATTAGAACTAATCTCATATGCAAATTAATGACTTCACCCAAAATTCCCAAATTTCTCCTTGAAATTCTCAAATTTCTCCCCGAATTTCCAATTTCTCCCCAAAATTCCTGAATTTCACCCCAAAATCCTCAAATTTCCCCCAAATTCCCAAATTTCCCCCCAAATTCCCAAATTTCACCCAAATTCCCAGATTTCCCCCCAAATTCCCAAATTTCCCCCCAAATTCCCAAATTTCCCCCAAAATTCCCAAATTTCCCCCCAAATTCCCAAATTTTCCCCCAAATTCCCAAATTTCCCCCAAAATTCCCAAATTTCCCCCAAAATTCCCAAATTTCCCCCAAAATTCCCAAATTTCCCCCAAAAACCCCAAATTTCACCCAAAATTCCCAAATTTTCCCCCAAAATCCCCAAATTTCACCCAAAATCCCCAAATTTCCCCCCAAAAATCCAAATTTCCACCCAAAAAAACCCCCAAATTTTCACCTTTTTCCCCCAAATCTTTTCCCCCCCTCTCGCCCTTCCCCTCCCTCCCCCCCCCGCCGTATGCAAATGCATGCAAATGAGCACCTGGGAGTCGGTCAGCGGCAGCCAATAGATGCACGGCGCCGCTTTGGTTTTCCGGAACAAATCGTCCAAAAGTTTGGCCGGGGGCTCTTCCGGGGGCTTCTCTGAGGGGGGGGCGGGGCCAAAGGAAGTCAAGACCACGCCCCCACCCACCGTGACGTCACAGGCCACGCCCACCCCGCTCCGATCCCGTCCCGACATGCCCCTTCCTCGTTAAACGGGGGTTTGGACACGCCCACTTTTGGTGAAGGCCCATATAAGGGCATTAAGCCACGCCCACTTCCTCTTTAGGCCACGCCCACCCGACTAAGCTCCTCCTGCTTTTCTTTTACGCCCATATATGGTCATTTTACACCTTCAGGCCACGCCCACCGCTTTTAAACCCCTCCCACCAACTATCAATGCCCATAAAAGGACATTGAGCTTGCCCCACCCCCTTCAGGCCACGCCCACCACCTTTTAGCCCCTCCCACCACTGTTTTATGCCCATATATGGTCATTAAGCCCCTCCCACTCCCATGAAAACCACTCCCACTTTCCTCCAATGCCCATATATGGTCATTAAGCCCCTCCCACTCATCAAAACCACTCCCACTTTCCTCCAATGCCCTTATATGGTCATTAAGCCCCTCCCACTCCCTTTCAGCCCCGCCCACTCCTCTCTATGCCCATGCATGGTCACAAAGCCCCTCCCACTCCCAAATAAGGCCCCTCCCACTCTCCAAATATGGTCATTAAGCCCCTCCCACTCATTTTTAAGCCCCTCCCACTTCTCCCAATGCCCATATATGGTCATTAAGCTCCACCCACCTAGTTAAGCCCCTCCCACTTTTGGGAAACACCCATATATGGCCATTAAGCCCCTCCCACTTCTCATAAAGCCCCTCCCACTTCTCCCAATGCCCATAGATGGGCATTAAGCCCCTCCCACTTCTCATAAAGCCCCTCCCACTCCCCAATGACCATATATGGTCATTAAGCCCCTCCCACTCCTCTCTATGCCCAAATATGGTCATCAAGCCCCTCCCACCCCTAAGCCCCGCCCCCTTTATGCCCATATAAGGCCTCACCTTTCCTCTCGGGCCGCGCCTCCCGCTGGCCCCGCCCCTTTTCCTTGTCCCCGCCCCCTTGGATCCGCCCCCGGCTGCCGCGGGCGTCGCGGGGGGCGTGTCCCGGCGCGGCCCCGCCCCCCGGCGGAAGTGGGCGTGTCCCGGAAGGGGCGGGGCTCTTCCCCCGGTCCCACTCGCGCTGCTCGCGGGCGCGCTCCCGCCGGGAACGCTCGCGCTCGCGCTCCGCCCACTGCCAGGGCTCCGCCCCCCGGGGGGCGTGGCCGGGCGGGGACACGCCCCCTGCGGAGGAGGAGCCGGGGGGAGGGGCGGGGGGGAAAGGGGGGGAGGGGCGGGGCGTTAAAGGGGAGGGGGAGGAGCCGGGGGGAGGGGCCAGGAGGCCGCGGTGGAAATCCAGCTGGGGGCGGGGCCAAAGAGAAAAGGGGCGGGGCCGAAAGGGGGAGGGGCCAAAGGGAAGGGGGAGGGGCAAAGTAAAATATGAGGGGAAAGGGGGCGTGGCCAAGGAAAAGGGGGAGGAGCCAAAAAGTGAGGAGGGGGAAAGGGGAGGAGCCAAAAAGGGGGAGTGGCCAAAGGGAAGGGAAAGGGAAAAGGGGCGTGGCCAAGGAAAAGGGGGAGGGGCCAAGGGAAAGGGCCCAAAAAGGGGGAGGGGCCAAAGAAAAGGGGGAGGGGCCAA